AGTCCTCATCAGCGTGGGGGAGGCAGCCCGGCTGAGAAGGGCGCTGGTCCTGGCTCGCCTCCCTGCGCAGGGAACTCCAGGCGGCACCCGGGACCTCCGTGTCTGGTTTGAGTGACAGGCCCAGGGCTGCGTTAGGGACAGCTGTGGGCCTTCTCTTTCCAGCCCAGCCGCCCCAGAGGCTCCACAGAGGCCTTTCTGAGAGCCGGGCCTCTGGGTAACCGGCGTGACAGGGAGAGCGTCCCTGCGTTCTCCCCTCGCACTGGGCCTGGACCCCCATTGCTGCGTCCCCCGGGGCTCAGCAGCCACGCTTGCTGGGCTCGGTTTTCAGCCTTCCTGTGCTGCCTCGCATGGAACCAGCGGCTGGGGGTGGGCAGAAAGATGGCTGGGGCGGACAGTGCATCCACCCTTGCAAGTGGGGCTTTGGCTCTCTTTATTTAGCTCCAAGGTGTGAGCGCCGGTGGTGTGACACTGGCTGGTAGCACAGGCTTGCATTGCAGGAGAAGGTGGCAGAGCAGAAGGCGAGAGGAGGGCATGCTGGGAGCTTTCTCTGCCCTGTGCCAGAGTTGAGGTTTTCAGAAAAGGCAGAGAGCAGGGGGCTGGATGCAGGGAGGTGTACCCCGAGGGAGCTGCCCACGGGGCCCTGTGGACCAGAGGAGGAAAGGAGGCTGGTCCCCCAAGTCCCCCTCCTCCTGCTGTGACCTTGAGCGGGCAGCTCCATCCCTCGGGACTGGGAGTCTGGCGGGTAGAGGAGCACTTCTCCAGGCCGTGGGCGTGTTAAGCTGGAGCCGCTGAAATGGGGAGACTGCTTTGCACCGCCTGGGAGGAAAGTACTTGGTTAGCAACAGCAGCTGTCTGCATGCCGCAGGGATTTGAAGGAATTCCTTCCCCTCGTCCCCGCTTCAGGGGTTGTTCAGGCAGGACAGGAAAGGCGTTCTCCTGCCCGTTCTTGTGTGCCAAGAGGGGACCGCCTTCCCAGCCCGAGAAACTGCTGCCTTGCAGGGACAGCTGGGAAGTCCCGCCCGAGCCCCACCCTTTCTGGAGCTGAGCCGGTGCTGATAAGGGGTACCCCTGCCCCCTGCCCTGGGCCCATTCCCGAGGGCTGGGCCCCACTCCTCTTCCCAGGCCCTGGGTCCTGCGCAGGCTCTCATCACACACAAATGTCCTCCCGCGCCCCCTGTGCCGGCAGTGACTCCCCGGCCCCCCAGGCTCGGGTGGGGGCAGTGACTTCACCGCCCAACACTCTCTGCCTCTCCCGGGCAGGGGTTCCGTGGGGTTCTCAGAGCCAGGAGTCCTCCAGGGCTGGGTGGGGCCGGCGCCCTCCCACTCTGGGGGCCAGGCTTTCTGTCTTCCCGGTGGATTTCTAAGAGGGGAAACCCTCTCCCCTCTCCGGGATTCCCGGGGCGGGACAAGCATGTGTGTGAAATGACAGCTGCTGAGACCGGGCTGGAGAGCCTCCTGGGGCAGAAAGAATTGGAATGGAAAAGCCCAAAATTGGGGATTGGCCGGGCTCCCAGGCCCACATGGCTTCCCTGTGCAGGCCACATGGCAGAGAGGATTCCCAGGGCTCCACCTGCCCTGCCCTGCTGCAGGGCAGGCTGGGAACTGGGCAGACACTTGACTTCTTTAGGCAGCTGCGGTCTGAGCGCAGGACGGCTTAAGGTGGAGCAGAGATGAGAAGACATGGCAGAGAGGAAGCAGGGGTGTGACTGGGGGCATCGAGGCAAGGGCGAGGCTGACCCTAAGGTCTCGCTTCGTTCTCTCTCTTAAGCCCAAAACAGGCCTACAGGTTGGATCCAACCGCCTTGATGTCCCCCACCCCTGAGACAGGAAGACAGGACCGACTGCCCCCAAAATGCGTCCAGTGGGGGCGGCGTGGGGCCTGCCCCGTGGAGTGAGGAGTGGGGCGAGGGAGGGCGGCTCCCAGCAGGCAGCAGCCTCAGTGCAAAGCCTGGCAGGTCTGGGGCTGGCTGGGACAGGCTGCTCACATAAGACCGAAGCCTCAGCTGAGCGTGGCTGCCCCCAGTGGGCATCGAGCCACCTCCCCGGGGTACTGACACTACCTCTCCCTAGCCCACGGAGTGGCACCGCCTCGCCAGGCCTCGGCTTGCTTCCATGTAAAGTGGGTTTGAGAGTAGCTGCCCTCGTGGTGCTTGAACAAGAGGCACGGGTGTGCCGGAAGCGTCTGGCACCCAGTCTCCACTTTGTTACTCATTCGCTCCGTTCATTCAGCGATCTGCGTGTGCGTGGCGGAGGAGGCACTGCTGTAGGCCCGGGGAACCCAGGCTGCCTGCCCCCGTGGAGGGCTCAGACAGACCCCCAGAGACCACATCATGTCACCTGCGAGGTGACAGCCCTTGTCGGGGGAAGCAACCGCCAAGATGGGGGTGACTGGGGGTGCTGGGTAGAGCAGCTCAGAGACCCGTGGGACGGCGCAGGGATGGCTTGTGCGGTGCGTTCCCACAACAGCAGGAAGGCCAGCTGGCCGGGTGGCAGTGAGCCAGGGGTGAGTAGGAGGGGGCCAGGGCTGAGGGCCCGGCGGCTCTCGGGGGGCTGGGAGGGCATCACAAGGTCCCTGGTGCCCAGTTTCACCCCCCAGTAAAAGCCACCACATGGCTCTGAGCGGACACGTCACATGTCCTGCCTTGGGTCTTTTTTTTTTTTTTTTTAAGATTTATTTTATTTATTTGAAAGACAGAGTTACAGAGAAAGAGACAGAGAGAGGTCTTCTATCCGCTGGTTCACTCCCCAGATGGCTGCAATGGCCAGAACTATGCCGATTGGACACCAGGAGCTTCTTCCGAGTCTCCACGCAGGTGCCAGGGCCCCAAGGACTTGGGCCATCTTCTCATGCTTTCTCAGGCCAAAGCAGACAGCTGGATGGAAAATGGAACAGCCGGGTCTCGAACTGGCGCCCATATGGGATGCCCGTGCTTCAGGCCAGGGCTTTAACCTGCTGTTCCACAGCGCCGGCCCCCTGCCTTGGGTCTTAACAAAGCTCCTCTGGCCACGGAGTTGATAACAGGGGTACAAGGGTGGAGTGGAGGCGAGGAGAAGTCGCCTGCCATAATTTGGCCAGAGTGACAGCAGTGGGCAGGGGAGGTGGCCGGACTTTGGTTGTACTTTGAAGGTAGAGCTGGTGGGACTTCCGCCTACAGCACACGGCGCTGGGAGAGAGGAGGAGGACACTGCATGTCTTTTAATATCTGCCGTCCTGGTTTGCCCCACCATCATCCACTGGCCGTGTGAGGGAAGGAAGGGCGCCCCTCCCTCCACACGGGGGTCCGCTTCAGGAAGAAGCCCAGGTGCATTAACAAGTGACCAACCCTGGCAGTCGCCACTCGTCACAGCCTTGCCAGCCCAGTCCCTGGGGGGCATGAGGCGGCCAGGCCCTGGCCTCGGGCCACTCGGCCTGCCCCTGCCTGCCTGGGGACCCTGAGGCCCTGCCCCATTCTCCTTTCCCAGGCCCTTGCTTTCCCTCCCGACTGGGAACCTGGCTTCTCAGGGCAGCGGAGGCAGGGGTGCCTCCCTGCGGGATTCTGGCCAGGGTGAAGGACTTGGGCACGGGGGGGGGGGGGCCGCCCTGGGGAGGAACACGGACTCCACCCCCTCACCCTGCCCAGCCCCTGTGTCTCCCCCTGCCCCCCCAGCACTGGCCAGTGAGAGTTCTCCCAGCAAGGCATCCAGGCGGCCTCCCCCGCGACTGCCTTCCCAGACAGGACCCCTGCCCGTGGCTTTTGCTTTTAGGGTAGGGCCTGGGGGCTGTCGTAGGCCCTGCAACAGTATTCCTGTGAGTTCCTGTTTTCCCATTTTCAAAATCTCGTCTGGCCTTAGATCTCACCCACATCCTTGTCCTTCGAGTTGCACCCTTGGTTCTGTGCTCGCGCCCCCACAGCAGGCCGTCCGTGAGGTCCTCTGTGTCACCCTGGGCTGCCAGCCCTCTGCTGGTGTTGCCTGGTGCACGCCGCCTGGGAGAAGCCCAGCAGGGTGTGCGAATCCCCTCCGCCGACCAAGCCCGCTCAGCTGCTGACCTGTACTCAAACACGCGGCCCCACCCTGCCTGTGGGGAACCCATCAGCCGGGCAGCCAAGAGCTCCCAGTGCCAAACCAGGACTCATTCGCTGCTCTGTGTAAACAGCGTGCTGGAGCCGGCGGGCGTTAGTCACTGCGCGAGGGCTTCCCTTAGAGAGGAGCCCCCCCGCCCGGGGCCGGTAGAGGGGCTCGAGAACTCTTAGGACATGTGTGCCGGGGTGGGGGTGTTGTGGACCACGTGTGTGTGCTGCGTGGTGTGCAGGGTGGGGATTGTATACAGTGAGATCCCAAGTGCTGTGTGTTGGTGTGGTGTGTGTGATGTGGGGTGTGTGTCCCTGGGGAGGGTGTGCGCAGTGCTGGCCTGGGGGGTATCTGAACAGGTCGCGGCCTCCCCTCTCTTAGCGGTGCTTCTCTGTACCTGTTGAGCACATTCCGAGGGCTTGGGACTTGCTGGGACATTGGACCTCTCCCCGGCTGTGTGTGGCCGAGCTGCAGGGCTGACGGTCTCGGAGCCTCTGCCCCAGTGAGTGAGCGCCTCGGGTCTCGAGGGCCGGCGGCGCCTGCACCGCCCACGGCCATGGGCAGATGGCCTCGGCGTGAAGCCCGTGGACGGAGGCCGGCCCTGTTCAAATCCTGGGCAGCGTCCTCATGTTAGCCTGAGAACCGTTTCAATGTTGCTGTTCCCGGGGTCGGCACCCAGAGGGTACCTGATGAGAAGCCGGAGAAGCCCTACGCCTGGGTTGGCCTCTCTGAGATACGGGAGGTGTGAGTGGCGCCTGCGGCCAGCCAGCCCCACTCCGCCCGTCCTGAGCTGGAAGGTTCTAGACCCTGCGGTCCTGGGCAGATTGGGAAAGTTGGCCACACTCACTGGGCCTCCCGGGTGGGAAGACCAGGAAGCAAGAGGCGCTTTGTCAAAAAGAATTCTTTAGCTGCCCCCTTCTGTGTCCCCCCCTCCCCTTCCTTCTCTGCAGGTCTCTCTGGGAACCCTGCCGACCTGGAGAAACGCAGGCAGGTGTTTGGGCAGAACCTGATCCCCCCCAAAAAGCCCAAGACCTTCTTAGAGTTGGTGTGGGAAGCCCTTCAAGACGTCACCCTCATCATCCTGGAGATCGCGGCCATCATCTCCCTGGTCCTGTCCTTCTATCGCCCGCCCGGCGGAGAAAATGAGCGTGAGTGCCACCCACGACCTGGCCGGGGTCCCGGGGTTCTCGTCCCCACCACCAGGGAGCCCCCCGGGGTTGGTGGTCAAGGGGCTGCAGCTTAAAGCTTAACCCCCGCTGCCCAGAGACAGGAAGCTCTTTCTCCAACCCATCCTCCCGCTCGGAGGTCTTTCCCCCTCCCCCAGAATGTCCAGGGTCCCCCCACCCACCAGCTTCCCAGCCCTGCCTCTCCGAGGGCCCCCAGCAGCTGGTGGCACGCCGGGCAGCAGCCCTGGGGCCCCCACCGTGTTGGGAGTCACCAGGTCTGTCTATGTGACTTGCCTGTAATTTGCATGGGATTTTTTTTTTTTTTTTTTTTTTTTTTTTGCCGTTCGGTCCTGTGCTTCTCTCGGATAAACATTGTTACCCTGGTGATGAGACACCCCACGATCCCACTGCCCTGTGATAGCCTAAGGGTTCTGCTTTCTTCCTCCCCCTCCCTGCCATGCCATCGTGGGGGGATGGTGCCACAGTCCCCCCCCAGCCCCTTGGTGACCCTCTGTCTCCCTCCCCCGGCACAGTGTGTGGTCAGATTGCACAAAGCGCGGAGGATGAAGGGGAGGCGGAAGCCGGCTGGATCGAGGGGGCAGCCATCCTGTTCTCGGTGATCATCGTGGTGCTGGTGACCGCCTTCAACGACTGGAGCAAGGAGAAGCAGTTCCGGGGCCTCCAGAGCCGCATCGAGCAGGAGCAGAAGTTCTCCGTGATCCGCAATGGCCAGCTCATCCAGCTGCCGGTGGCTGACATCGTGGTGGGCGACATCGCCCAGATCAAGTACGGTAAGAGCCCACTCGCGCCCAAGGGGGCTTGGGAGTGGCTGAAAGGTGAGACCCCCCCCCCATACACACACACACACACACACACACACACACACATGTGCTCGCTTCCCTGGGAACGGATTCTCTGTGGGTGACTGGCAGGCCCGCACCGTGTCGTGGGATTGTGAGCGGCTCTGTGAGATTCAGGCCTGGGAAGGTATAGGGAGAGCGACGGGAGCTGGGGTCGCCGACTGCAGGCAGGGGGTCTTGTCCTGCTCTGCACAGAGCTTAAGCTGGCTCTGAGGGGCTCCCCGGGTGTTCCCTGGTGATCGGAGGGCTGAGCGGGCGTGGAGGCGCTGGGGGCGGCCCCCGCCCTCGCCTCCGGCTCCGTCACTGCTCCCCTGTGCGCGCCAGGTGACCTGCTGCCGGCCGACGGAGTCTTGATCCAGGGGAATGACCTGAAGATTGACGAGAGCTCTCTCACGGGGGAGTCCGACCACGTCCGGAAGTCCCTGGACAAAGACCCCATGCTGCTCTCAGGTAGGGCCCCTGCCTCAGGCCGGGATCCAGACCCTGCCCCCTCCTCGGGCTCCGTCCCGTGCCCCGCCCTCAGGGTCGCCTCCGTCCGCCTCCTGCGCGTGCTCTGTTCCTTAAGTCAGGGCTGCCCTGGACACTGCTGAGTGTCTCGTGGGCGTTACTAACGTGGGGGGCGTTGGTGTCTCGTGCCACGTCGTGGCTGGATCTAGAAGCCCAACTCCCTTCCCGTGTAGGGACCCACGTCATGGAAGGCTCTGGCCGGATGGTGGTGACCGCTGTGGGTGTCAACTCGCAGGCCGGGATCATCTTCACTCTGCTGGGGGCCAGTGAGGATGACGAGGAAGAGAAGAAGAAGAAAGGTAAGGGGCCTCCCAGGGGAGGGGGGCTCAGAGTGAGGGGGCTCATCTCGACGGACGCCTGGCAGGAAGAGCCCCGCTCTGATGGATGCCAGCTCCTGGCGCTGGGCGCCCAGGGCAGGCTGCAGTCGGGCCTCGAGCCCGGCGCCTTTGCTGGGTCTGGAAGGGACGGGTTCCTGAGCCTGCCCAGGTGAGCCGGCCAGGCGCTGTGGCCCAGCACTCCCCCGCGTCGTCCTCCTGCCCGCGCTGTCTCCCTCGAGGCGAGGCCGGGGCGATCCAGTGGCTGTCAGTGGGAGAGCAGACGCAGAGGCCCCGCGAGGTTAGGCCGGTCTTGGAAGGAATCGCAGGAGGAGGAAGAGTTCTCTCGGGCAGAGGGGACTTCTGCCCCCTGGCTGGAGCCGCTCAGGGCAGCCCACTGCTTTCCGGAGAGACTATGTCTTCCTGCACCCACCACACGGATAAGGAGGAAGCTTCCTGCACCCCCACCCCCACCCCCTGGGCTGCCACCATCCGTGCAGACCGCTCGCTCACACCCCTCTCTCCAACACCCTGCCGCCCCCGTTTTCCCAGGCGGTGCGACTCAGCCCGGGCACACTCCCGGAGGAGGTGGCTGGGCTGTGACCTTGCTGGTCAGTGTCCCCAGGCTCCGGGACAGCCTCTGCGTCCATGGGGATCAAACGAAGGCCCAGCTGTGACCCGCCCTCCCCCCAGCCCCATGGCTGGTACCTTTCTGGGCTCGGAGCAAGGCCAGCCGGCTGGACAGCAGATCTCTTCCTGGCCACTTTGGGTCTCCACCCCACTTTGTTCTTTCTTGTTCAAACAGGTAAAAAACAAGGAGTCCCTGAAAATCGCAACAAAGGTAACCTCTCCACACACTCACCTGCCATTTCTACCTGTCCACGCTCAAACCAGACCTCTCAGGCCATCCGCCTTCTCCCTTCCCCTCTTCATACACCTGTTACCTGCTGCTGCGGCCCAGACGCCTCACCCAGAGGAAGGTGCAGAGATGGGGTGGGGAGGCGCCCAGGCTCAATCTAAGATGGGGCAAGAGCGCCCTCTGCTGTTGGCTCCTGGAACCTCACGTCGAGGTCTCACCCGGTACCTGGAGGATCTGCTCTTTCCGGGGTGCCTAACTCTGCTTCATTGCCCTCAGCTGGATTTTTTTTTTTAAACACCAAGGGCCATCCTTTTGGAGTCGGGAGACTTCTAGGGTCCTCCCGGTGGAGGGAGTCGGGGTGGGCAGTCCCTGCACCCTCCTGCTGGCTTCCTCACCAGGGGCTTCTCTGCTAGTCTCCGAGGGGCGCTGGGCTACAGCCTCCGCCCACCTCGCTCTGCGTTCTCTCCAGGCTGTCTTCCTCCTGGTCCGCTGTGTGTCTCTATTGCGGTCGCCGTGTTTGCACTGTGTCTCCGTGGTGTGTGTGGGCTTGACAACGTGTCGGGCGGGTTGGCCTCAGTGCGGGCAGAGCCACGCAGGGACCACAGCGCCAGGGGCGGGGTTGCTTTCCTCTGTACCCCACGTCACCGTCGTCTTTAGAAATAAAAAGCATTGCATTGGAGAACCAGGGCCAGACACGACCGTCCGTCATTGCTGGTTTTCCTTTACTCTTCTTTTAAAAGCAAAGTGCGTTTATTTCTGCGTCCGTCTTAGTCCCAGCTTTATCTTACTCCAGGGACACCCCTCACACCAGCGACTTCCCTCTCCCCCAAAACACGGACCCCCTGGGGGGGCCTTGGTCAGGCAGGGCAGGGAGGGGTCCTCCTTCCCCCTCCATCTGCTCATACAAAGAGCTGGAAGATAATACAGGGTCTGAGATGTTAAGCCCTGGGTTCCAGGCAGGATGGCTACTGGCATCGGCACTCAGGGCCGCGATGCATGGCCTTGCTGCACTCAACCTGGCCTGGGGCTCCGAGGGGCTGCCAGGAAGCTGCTTCCGAAAAGGAAATCCAGGACCCTCAAGCACCCCCGCTCCAGTGCTTAGACGCTCACCCCCGGGCCCTAACAGGGGGTTGACGGCAGGTTCCGTGTCCAGCACAGGCCGGGCGTGGTCAGAGCAGACATCAGGACACTGGGGGCTGTTCCCTTCCTGCCTGCCTGCCCCTTGCTCCATGCTGCTCCCCTGCCCGCTCACGTGTCCTGTTTGTGCACCCTAGCAAAGACCCAGGACGGCGTGGCCCTGGAGATCCAGCCACTCAACAGCCAGGAGGGGGCCGACAACGAGGACAAGGACAAGAAGGCCAGCAAGGTGCACAAGAAGGAGAAGTCGGTGCTGCAGGGCAAGCTGACGCGCCTGGCCGTCCAGATTGGGAAAGCTGGTGAGCCGGGTGGGGTCTGGCTGGCTGGGGCCCTGTCTCTGCCGCGCCTCGGACATCCCCTGGGCTTTCTGAGAGAGCGGCGTCTCCCCGTATATGAGGCCAGCGGCCCTCAGGGGAAGGCAGACAGATGCCGGCTCTCCTGCCCTGTGTTGGCTTCCACGTCCCAAAAGCGAGGAGAGGCTGCCATGGGCCGAAGTTCGGCTGTTCCCTCGAGCAGCAGCCGCGGCACGTGGCAGAGCCCGGGGCAGCGGACACACTAGAGGAAGAGGGCAGGGTCGGAGGGGCCCTGTCTGGAGGTCACCTAATGCACTTGTGAGTGCAGGGTGAGCAGGTAGCTTCCCCCACACCAGCCCTGTGTGTGCTCTCTGCCTCTGTCCCCCCACCTTCTTTCAGCAGTGGGGGGCAGGGCCAGTGGGGGGAGGGAGCAGAAGGAGTTCATTATCTGAGCCCGCCCTCCCATCGGGCACACCTCTGTGTGTGCTGTTCGCATGGGGTTCTCGCTGAGGCGCCAGTGCGGCGGGTCTGCCTCCACCTGGCCTCCCCCGTGCTGCCGGCTCACCAGGCGCACCGGGTCAGCTTTGTGTGACTCACCGAGAGCAGCGTGTGGGGCAGGAGGCGGCGGATCTCACAGTTTGGAGGGTCACAGCTCAAGGTCAGGGGGAGGCGGGCCGGGGCAGAGTGGGTGTGCAGGTGCGGTCACGTGGTGAGCCGAGAAGCTGGGCCGACTGGGCTGAGATAACCAACCCTGCCCCTGAGAACTCCCTCCCGGGCGGCCCCAGTGACCCAAACACCTGCTGGGCCCCCATCATGGGTGACCCGTTCACTGCTAACGTGAGGCTTCAGGGTTTAAGCTTCTGCACGAGTCTGGGGAGCCGTGTCCCACTGGACCCGTGGCATAGGCTGCGGCAGCCACCAGCCACCTGTGGCTATGTCCACTGAGATGGATTAAAATGAAAAAGCCAAAAGCTCAGTCCCTAGGTCACAGTAGGCCACGTTTCACTTGGCCAGTGGTCACACGTGGCCAGCAGCGCAAAGAGAAAGCATGCTAAGCATCATGGGAAGTTCTGTTGTGCAGAACCCTCCTTTTGTCCTGGCGCTGTGGTTCTGACTGCCGTGGATGAGACGAACGGCAGGACGTCACTGAGCCCGGCACAGGCTTATTCTTCTCCAGGGGCAAACTCAATCGTGGCCAGGATTAGAGTGGGCAGCTGCGGTGCCTCCCACCCCCTGCAGAGCAAGCACCCCCCCCCCCAAAATTCCGCACCCTCCCTAACCCAGCAGGGTACCAGGAATGTGGTGGAGTCGACCTGCTCACGCGAGCCCCGCTCTGGGGCCCCAGAGTCCATCAGGGCTCGGGACAGTAGAGCCCAGACCCAGCACGGTTTACAGCAGAGCGTTCCCCAGATCTTTGCCCCCGCCGGGCACAGGTGGGCCCTGATGGTGGCCCCTCTGGCGCTCAGAGCGGCCAGCTGCTGGCTGACCCTCAGCGAGTTCTTGCAGGGACCTCCGTATGTGAGGTGACCAACCGTCCCTGTGGGCTTGGGGCCGCCCACATCCCGGGAAACCGTCACTCACCAGTGTCAGTACGGCAGACCATCCGGCCTTACTTTCTTTAAAAAGGGGCTAACAGTCACCTGCATCCCAGAGCTGCAGGGAGGGCCTGGCCTGGACGCGGGTGTTTGCTTGGTCAAAGGCACCGTCCCAAGGGCTTCGTTTGCACCGGGAATGGGCTAGCACCCCGGCACTCACAGGCGGGTGGGGGAGAAGTCGGAGTTGCTGAGCTGCCAGGCCGTGGACAGACATGGTCAGCACGTCGTTAGGGGAAGTGTGGCGGTCTCAGGTCGGGTGGAGTGGGTCCTGTGGAAGGCTGCTCCAGGAGGCAGACCAAGCCCCGTATTTGAGCGAGGAGCGTGGCCAGGGAACAGAAGCCAGCAGCGCTGAGACAGGAGCCTGTGTCTTTTAGAGCGGGGGCCTCCCCCTCCCGCTGTGATGTCCTTGAAGTGGCAGCCGAGGCCGCGGCTGGCGCCGGCGCCCCTGGAGCCTCCCGTGACCCGTCTCCCCGCACAGGTCTCATCATGTCCGCCGTGACTGTCGTCATCCTGATCCTGTACTTCGTGATCGACAACTTCGTGATCCAGGGCAGACCGTGGCTCGCCGAGTGCACCCCCGTCTATATCCAGTACTTCGTCAAGTTCTTCATCATCGGCGTCACCGTGCTGGTGGTGGCCGTGCCCGAGGGGCTGCCGCTGGCCGTCACCATCTCCCTGGCCTACTCTGTAAAGGTGCGGCAGGGCCGACCGGACACGAGGGGAGGGTGTCGTGAGCCCCTGGTGGGAGGACCCGGCTTGCACCCAGCGACTTCCCCAGCCTCCACCGCGGTGGGCGTATCAGTTGGTTGCATCAGCGTGTAAATAACCCAGCAGGATCCTAAGAGAGTCACCACAGCAGTAGCACCCGGGCAGGAAGCTGGCCGGGCAGCGCCCCTGGGTCTGTATCCGGGAGAGTCTGGTCAGCCACCTCCCGTCTCTTCCCCTTTGCAGAAAATGATGAAAGACAACAACCTGGTGCGGCACCTGGACGCCTGTGAGACGATGGGCAATGCCACGGCCATCTGCTCCGACAAGACCGGCACGCTGACCATGAACCGCATGACCGTGGTGCAGGCCTACGTCGGGGGCACCCACTACCACCAGGTGCCCAGCCCCGACGTCTTCCTGCCCAAGGTCCTGGACCTCATCGTCAACGGCATTGCCATCAACAGCGCTTACACATCCAAGATCCTGGTAAGTCCTTCCTCCACGTGCACACTCGGGGTGGGGGGCGGGCAGGGGGCGGGGAGGGGACTCCCTGGGGCCACATGGGGGCGGTAGCTGGAGCACCGAGGAGCCGTCAGAACCTGGGGCCCAGCGGCCACGTGTAGGCAGTGTCTCTCGGGAGGGACTGACGCTGGCGGCAGGATCGGGCATATCAGTAAATTCCGCACTTCAGAAGCAAAGGGCGGGTGTGGGAATAAGAGCCACACAGGGTGAGACGCGAGCTGGAGCCAGCTGGGAAATCCCGGATGGCCCTGGAATCAGGCTCACTCCTGACCACCGTGCTGCGTGCTCTCCACAAAGACCCCCCACCCCCGTCACCACCGCTGCCCCCCCACTCCTCGCCCCCACACTCCGGGTGTGATCGGGCAAGATTTGCAGGGGAGGTCTTCCCCTGCCTGGTGCTCCAGCCCCGGCCGGCGGCGTCTTCAACGGTGCCCTGTGTGTTCTCTCTCCCTCAGCCTCCGGAGAAGGAGGGAGGCCTGCCGCGGCAGGTGGGCAACAAGACCGAGTGTGCTCTGCTGGGCTTTGTCGCAGATCTGAAGCAGGACTACCAGGCGGTGCGCAACGAGGTGCCCGAGGAGCAGCTCTACAAGGTGTACACCTTCAACTCGGTGCGCAAGTCCATGAGCACGGTCGTCCGGAAGCCCGCCGGCGGCTTCCGCATGTACAGCAAGGGCGCCTCGGAGATCATGCTGCGCAAGTGAGCACCGCCCCCTGCCTCCCTCCCCCGGCCCCGCACGGCCCCGCACGGCCCCGCGAGCCTGCTGGCATTTACTCGGCCAGCCGTTGCTTTCCCACACTCTGCGTGGCCCGTTGCCTTCAGTCCTCACCCCAGTGAGGTCAGGGCCAGTTCTGACCTGTTCTGTGCAGGGGAGAGGACAGGCCCAGGGGAGTTCAGCTTGCTCAGGGTGATGACAGCCAACAGTGGCACGGCCAGGATGCACCCTAGACAGCGAAGCCTCCAGCTCGCCATCCGAACCCAGGGAGAGGAACGCTCTCCCGAAACGACGCCAGCCGTGCCGGTGAGGTGCCGTGCACACGGCCAGTGCTGGAAATCATTCCCCGTCACACCTGTCCGCGATTCTGATGAAGGAAAGTTGCGTGCTTTTGTTTTGTTTTGTTTTTAAGATTTATTTATGTATTTGGAAGGCAGAGTTACAGAGGCAGAGAGACAGAGAGGTCTTCCATCCGCTGGTTCACTCCCTAAATAGCCTCAACAGCCAGAGCTGGGCCAATCTGAAGCCAGGAACCAGGAGCTTCTTCTGGGTCTCCCACGCAGGTGTAGGGGCCCAAGCACCTGGGCCCATCTTCCACTGCTTTTCACACAGCAGAGAGCTGGACCGGAAGAGGAACAGCTGGGACTCAAACCGGTGCCTGTATGGGATGCTGGCACTGAAGGCAGCAGCTTTACCCGCTACACCACAGCACCGGCCATTGTGGCCATTTAGGGAGTGAACCAGCAGATGGAAGGCTTCCTCTCCACCCCCACAAACTGTCCCCACCCCACCACTGCCTCTCTGTAACTCTGCCTTTCAAATAAATAAATAAATCTTTGAACAAAAAACAAGAGCACAGATGACGTGGGAGAGTCACAGCTCCTGCTCCCCGGGCACTGCCCCACGCACACGCATCCTGGACGCCTTCAAAAGAGGGTGGCGGCTAGAGGAGCTCTTTGGCCATGAAGCGGTGTCATTAGGAATAAAGCCGAGCAGCCAGAGCGCCTGGCGGGGACGGCAGCAGCCTGGAGTGGGAGGGGGGACCCCGCCTCCTGACCCTGTGCCTCCCCAGGTGCAATCGGATCCTGGACAAGAAGGGGGAGGCGGTCCCGTTCAAGAACAAGGACCGCGACGATATGGTGCGCAGCGTCATCGAACCCATGGCCTGCGAGGGGCTGCGCACCATTTGCATAGCCTACCGGGACTTCGACGACGCCGAGCCCTCCTGGGACAACGAGAGCGAGGTCCTCACCGAGCTCACCTGCATCGCCGTCGTGGGCATCGAGGACCCCGTGCGCCCAGAGGTGAGGCGCTGGCCTGGCCTGGGGCAGGGTGGTGGGGACCACCACGGCCCAGCCGTGACCTAGTGGGAAGCAAGATGCGGGTGATCACCTGCCTCTCGCCCACAACAGGAGGTGTTTCGGGGCTTCCAGTTCCCCAGAGCTGCTCTGGGGTGGTGGGTGGTGGGAGGCAGCACTCGTGGGGTTTATGGTGTGCGAGTCAGGGAGAAATGGAGCTATCAGCGGACACACCATTGGTGCGATCAACTGGAACACCAGCCTTGACTTCTGCCACCGCCTTTCAGCCAACACCCCTGTGGTGCACATCCCCTGGGCGCTGAGCATTCTCCAGGCTCCTAGGGAGCCCTTCATCTCCTGGCACAACAGGGCCTATCCCAATGTGACCGTCGCAGGTGGACGGAAGTGAGGAAACCCCGGATGTAGCAGTGCCCACACTTAGCCCATGCCCGGGGCAGTGCTTGTCAGCGGTCTCTCTGCTGTCCACACTGGAGGCACCAGAGGCCACTGCTGCCACCTCCACCTCTCCTTTCCTCACTCCCCCACAGGTCCCAGAAGCTATCTCCAAATGCAAGCGAGCTGGCATCACTGTCAGAATGGTGACCGGGGACAATGTCAACACAGCCCGAGCCATCGCCACCAAATGTGGCATCCTGACACCTGGCGATGACTTCCTGTGTTTAGAAGGCAAAGAATTCAACCGACTCATTCGCAATGAAAAGGGAGAGGTGGGTCCTAGGTGGGAGGCACCTGGGCCTTCCTGGGGACAAAGGCAGGGCTGAAGGTGGGTCCTGGGTGGGAGGCACCTGGGCCTCCCTGGGGGTGAAGGCTGGGCTCGAGGTGGGTCCTGGGTGGGAGGCACCTGGGCCTCCCTGGGGGCGAAGGCTGGGCTCGAGGTGGGTCCTGGGTGGGAGGCACCAGCCTGAGGCATCAGGGGCACTGGGAGAAGGCGTCCAGTTTCTAAACTCACGTCCAGCGTCCCTCTCTCCCAGAGCCACTCACTTGGCAAAACAGGCCATTGTCTTCCTTCTTGTTGGCATCGTTCACAAGCCAACTTTTTGTGTCTTTCGGCTTCTTCCGTCGCCCCTGCCATGTGACCCCCAGTGGCTCAGGCTGTGAGAGGCCGTGGCCCAGGTGTGGAGCAGAACAAAGCTTCCTGGTCTACGTAGAAATCAAACCTAAGACCCCGAAGCACCACCGTAGCCACCGGAGCCAGCAGCTGACCCCGGCGGCCGCCATCCATAGCTCTGTCCTTGGAGACTAAGTTGGCGTCACCTCCTCCAGGGCCGGGAGAAGCGCTCCCTGTCTGCCCCAGATCTCTCAGAGCTCGGCGTGTGTGGCACAGACAGATCTTCCCAGGTGGCTTTGCGTGTTTGGCTGAGCCACGGTGTGTCTGGCGTTGGCAGGTAGAACAAGAGAAGCTGGACAAGATCTGGCCCAAGCTTCGGGTCCTGGCCCGGTCCTCGCCCACAGACAAGCACACGCTGGTGAAAGGTGAGCTGGTGCCGGCAGCCACAGGCAGGAGGGGGCTGTCTCCTGTCCCGAGAGCACCAGGCGGATGGGGAGAGCAAGCAGCCGAGCCCTGGGTGGCCAGATCCTGCGGCTGTGTTGGGTTTTTGAAGCCTGCTCACGTCTTGTTTGCCGGTAGCCCTGGGAACAGGTCAGGGCAGGGCCACGCTTCTGGGATACAACAAGGGACGTGTGAGGCCGAGGAGACAGGACCCCTCCCGGCCTGCCCACTCGTGGGGGAGAGTGGCGCAGGCGACTCCCAGCTGTCTGCCTTCAAATCCTCCCCGTGTTGTTCTCCTCAGCACAGGACAGCCTTTCCCAGCCGGCGGCGCCAGCCAGCCGCAGCTGAGGGCCCTGGGAGGTTCCTTCCAGCAGGGGGAAGGGAGAGAGGATGGAGAGGGGCGTGCAGGGGCGGGGGCGGGGAGGCAGCGCCGGGTGGAAGCCACCAGGCAGCCTCGAGCTCACCGGGGCGCGTGTCTGCTTTTCAGGCATCATTGACAGCACCGTTGGGGACCAGCGGCAGGTGGTGGCTGTCACCGGTGATGGCACAAATGATGGGCCGGCCCTCAAGAAGGCAGACGTTGGTTTTGCCATGGTAAGGTCAGCGCGGTGTCCCTGTCCCATGGCAAGCTGCCGTCCCCGTCGGGAGGCCGGGACACGCTTCCGGTGGCCAGCTGCTTCCTGTTCCTCTGTGTGCTCCTTCCCCTGACTACGTCTCTCTCACCCACCTACCTGGCCACTGCTAACACGTGTGACGGGAGACCCGCCGGGCTTGACGGATCAGGCACAGGCAGGGAAGTCACGGAGGATCGTGACCCGGGACAGCAAGAGCAACTGACACATGGTGATGTCCGCCTGGGCAGACTATAGAAAGGCCATGTTCCGTGTGAGCATGCGCCTTGTGCCCAGGCTACAGCCGTGTTCCGTGTGAACGCGCGCCGAAAAGCAGAGTTGGCTAGCGTACCTCCATGTCTGTCTGGCATCTTCAACGATCCACATGTGGCCAGTCCCTGTGGCCTGTCCACACCTGAGGTTTTTGTTGTTGTTGTTGTTGTTGTTGTGTATTTACTTTGAGAGTCAGAGTGAGAAAACCTGTCCTCTGGTTCACTCTCAGATGCCTGCACCAACAAGGGCTGGACGAGGCCACAGCTGGGCCCTAGGAGCCCCGTTTAGGTCTCCCACGCAGGTGGCAGCAGCCAGGCGGTCGAGTCTTCCAGGGTCTGCTTTGCAGGAAGCCGGACTCGGGAGCCAGAGGTGCTCTGCTGGGGGACCGGCCGGCGCAGCTCTGAGGCCAGCAGCCTGCTCCCAGCTTACTTACTATTTTGAAGCCAAGCCAAGACATCAGTGTCATTTGATCCATAAAAATTCCAGACCATGTCCCTTCATGATAAGTGTGTGTCCGTAAAATGTGTCTAAAGGAAAGATAACGCCATTATTGCCTAGCAAGACTGACCCTTACTGTCACGTGGCCAGTCTGCTCGCGTTGCCCCAGCTGGCTCCTGAGTGTTGTTTTGTAGTTTATTTGTCCAAATCACAATCCAGTAAAGATCCATGCACTGCAGCGGTGGGTACATCACTCGCGTCTCAGTCCACAGCTTCTATCTGCTGGTTCTCTCCCCCAGTGGCCGCAACAGCCAGGTCCGGGCTGGGCTGAAGCCGGGAGCCAGGATCTCCATCCTTTTCTCCCATGTGTGTGGCAGGGATCCAAGTGTTTGGGCCATTTCCTGCTGCCTTCCCAGGCGCATTAGCAGGGAGCTGGATTGGAAGTGGAGCAGCCGGGACTCGAACCACCAGCATTGCAGGCAGTGGCTTAGCGTGCTGTGCCACAACCCTGGCCCCAGAAATATGTGTCTATAAAAGCCCTCTCGTTGATTCTGATGCACTCAAAAGTTGAGAACCATCAATCCTGTGGAATCCTGTGTCGAGCGTCCCAAAGACCACTCTTGTATTCATGTACTCATTAGGACTCAGCATATGGTTGTACTCGTGGTTAAGATTTACTGCAGGGGCCGGCATTGTGGCACAGTGGGTACAACCACCGCCTGCGATGCCAGCACCCCATAAGGGCTTGGTTGGAGTCCTAGCTGCTCCACTTCTGATCCAGATCCCTGCTAATGCACCTGAGTGAGCAGAGGTCGACCCAAGGGCTTGGGTCCCTCCACCCACCTGGGAGACCCAGAAGAAGCTCCTGGTTCTTGACCCAGCCCTGGCCGTTGCAGCCATTTGGGGAATGAACCAGTGAGTGGAAGACCTGTGTGTGTGTGTCTCCCTCGCTCTCTCTGGAGCTCTGCCTTTCAAATAAATAAAATAAATATTTAAAAAAATTTATTATAGCCTGAGGCAGGTGTTGTGGTTCAGGGGGTTAAGCCTGTGCTTGGGACACCTGCTTCCCATACCAGAGAACCTGGGATCAAATCTCACCTCCCCGTCCTCTCTGGCTTCTTGGTAATAACGTGCACCCTGGGGGGCAGCAGAAATAATGGCTTCAGTGCTTGGGTCCCTGCCACCCACTCGGGAGACCAGGATGGAGCTCATGGCTCCTGGCTTCCACCTGGTTCCTGGCTGCTGTGGGCATTTGGAAAATGAACCAGTGGGTGAGAGATCTCTCTCTGTCTCTGTCTCTCTCCCTCTGGGGATGATGCTGTGGTGTCCGAGTAAAGCCGCTGTCTGTAGTACTGACAACTGACATCCTATGTGGGCACTGGTTCTAGTCCCGGCTGCTCCACTTCCGATCCAGCTCTGTGCTGTGGCCTGGGAAAGCAGTAGAAGATGGCCCAAGTCCTTGGGCCCCTCCCTGCACCCACGTGGGAGACCTGGAGGAGGCTCCTGGCCCCTGGCTTCAGATCAGCCCAGCTCTGACCGTTGAGGGCATCTGGGGAGTAAACCAGCAGATGAAAGACCTCTCTCTCTCTCTCTGCCTCTCTGTAACTGCCTTTCAAATAAATAAATCTTTTTTTAAAAAAATCTCTCCTCCCTCTCCTTATCCCACTTCCTCTACCTCTCTGTCACTCTGTCTTTCAAATAAATAAAAATAAATAAATTTTAAATAAACAGAAAGATGGTGCCAGTGACGTGGGGAGGAGCCTGGCAGGGTGTGGGGACCCAGGCCTGGCTGCGCTGTCCTCCCGGGGCGTCTCTCGGAGTCCCCTCTTCCCGCCATCTGCAGAAACCCCGCAACGTGCGCGTGTGATGTTTCCGCCCCCGGGAGCCCATCCCGGTTTCCGCACACACAGTTCTCTTAGGACTGGTCACACGGGCCCCTCCTGCCCGGCAAGCACCAGAACTGCAGGCCCCCGGCAGGGAAGCAGGTGCTCAGATGAAGCACGCCGTCTGGGCGCGGCCTAGACCCAGCGCGCCTCCCTTGCCAGCTAACTCACTGCCAGCATTCGGAGAGCCAGGCTCCCGGACGCCAGCCAAGCGCCCGCCTTGCAGACGGGCCTATCTAAGGACAGCAGTCCCAGGCCAGTGATGTCAGCTCCTACACAACCCCTTCCGTCCTTTTCCCCCAGCGATTCAGCGTTGAAGGAACTGTGTTGCTTGTCTACACAGGCTGTCCCACAGTGTGGATTTTGTTGGTCGTATCCCTGGAATGTCCCTTTACATTTCCCCTCACCTCTTGTAATCCCTGTAAGTGAGTAGTTCTAGAAGCAATCAGATTCTAGATCCCTCCTCTCATTAGGGGCTGTGAAAGGATAATATCGTAATTTGATGGGTTTACTTCCATTAATAATTATTTGCTTTCCTTCTATACGAAGCAAGCTTACTGTGTGGTTCAGTTCTTACGTGAAAGGCAGCTTAGCTGTTCCGCTCCCCAGTTTTCAAGATGATGAGTTGGTTTTCTTAGGAACCTCCAAGGGTGACTGATGAGCGTTTTTCTAAGCACGATTTTACAGCCTCGTGGGTTTAAGCGTAGCCGGTGTGTTTCTCTCCGGTGTGTTCGTGTGTGTTTGGCGCTCAGGCTGCCCCACCCTCAGCCAGGAGAAGCCCCCTCAGCATCGCGGAGCCCCTGTGCCGCTGAGTGCGGGGCCCCCACAGCTCTCTCCAGGCCTTAGCTCAGATGCCTGAGCCTGCGCCCGGCGTCACACGTTTCTCCTGGGAGTCCCCGTCCCGTTCAGTGGGGAACAGAGCCGGAGCCAGAGGGTGTTCCTTGCTTCCAGGCCTTCTCGGAGGCAAAGCCAAGAGTTACACTCTTACTGTCTCCTGTTGGGTTTTGCCCTTGTTTATTTTCAAGAATATTTCAAGTTTAAAACAAAAACAAAAACAAAAACAAGCTCCCCTTCACATTCGGAAGAGAGAATTCTCACTTCCCAGTTTCCACCCTGCTCGTTTGATTTGAGTCCCCCTGGTTTTATATTTGTATGTCGTATGCTCCACACTTTGACTTGTGGCATTAACATAATCATCGTTCGCTTTATCCTAAACTATATGTCATCCTTTCCAAACAGCAGTAACAATACTGATCCACTGAGTCAGCTAAAGCCAGCCGGCTGCCTTCTTCCAGGTCTTCCGCCCACAGGTATATTTGCTAGGGCTGCACATCAGGTTCCGTGAAGGCATCAAGCCACTTCGCTTTTGCGTAGTTGTGCTCCCAACAGGCCTAGGCAGGGAGAATGGGCTCCCTCCCTCTCGGCCCTTCTCTGTAGGGACCCTGGCACAGCGTGTCACCCCCACCCCACCCCCGTTTCCTCTGGGGCGCCCTCCAGTGTTCACACCCAGCTCGGAAGTTTCCTGGCCATCAGGAAGTGGAGTCTGGCTTCCGGAGGTGCCCAGGCCCTCACCGGGTTCCCTCCCGCCCCCCCCCCCCCCCCAGGGGATTGCAGGCACAGACGTGGCAAAGGAAGCCTCGGACATCATCCTCACCGACGACAACTTCACCAGCATCGTCAAGGCCGTGATGTGGGGGCGGAACGTCTACGACAGCATCTCCAAGTTCCTGCAGTTCCAGCTCACCGTCAACGTGGTGGCCGTGATCGTGGCCTTCACGGGCGCCTGCATCACTCAGGTGAGTGGGGCCTGCGGTGGGCTCAGATGAGGGAGACAAGGCAGGGGCCGGGGAGTGCGCCGTACACCGGGCGTCCCCACGATGTCGGAGCCCCCGGGCCGACTGTCTCCAGTGAAGGTAAACTGTCCACCCTTCAGAGCTCTGATGTGTTGACCAGCACCGTGGGCACCAACACGAGGGTGCACCATGTCTGTTCTCCAAGAACAGCCGTGCCAGGGCGGTGTTGCCGGCCCATCTGTGGCCCGGAGGTTAGGTGCATTTCTACAGCACGGCCAGGTTGGAAGTCTAGGTGGACAGTGGGAGCGAGGCCACCCAGCTCGGGGGCGGAAGGGGGTCTCCTAAGTGGGCAGGGGCCGCTCCTGGGGCAAGCTGAAGGGACCGCACCTTCCTCCCACCAGGACTCCCCGCTGAAAGCCGTGCAGATGCTGTGGGTGAACCTGATCATGGACACTTTCGCCTCGCTGGCCCTGGCCACCGAGCCCCCCACCGACGCGCTGCTGCGGCGGCGCCCCTACGGCCGCAACAAGCCCCTGATCTCGCGGACCATGATGAAGAACATCCTGGGCCACGCCGTCTATCAGCTCACCATCATCTTTTTCCTGGTCTTTGCTGGTGAGCCAGAGCCGGGGGCTGGGGCAGCGGTGGGGGTGCTGGAGGGAGATGGAGGCCGAGAATGGCCCCTGGAAAGAGGGTGACACAGATCCGGAGTGATGGCGCCACCTGCTGAGCACTGCCTGCATTGCCGCTGCCCGGCACACTGAAGAATTTCACAAGGGTGGGTTTTTATACCTTTCCATCCCGTGAGAACACTGTGGCTCAGGTCATACAGACGATGAGTCTGTAGGATGAGTCTGTAGGGGCCCTAAAATGCAAAACTATGTCAGCCCTACTGTGGTCGGCTTCATTTTCACCAGAAGGCAGATAGATACAATGGAACAATGGAAGATCCAGGCAGGCAGGCTGAGTGCAGGGCTGGCTGCTAAAGTAGGAGGAGCCAGGACGGCTCACTGCTGCCCACCTGGGGTGCACACGAGCCATACGCTCCCTGGGTAGCCATGCCAGCGTGTTCCCACTCAGCCTGCCCTCGCCCCACAGGCGAGAAGTTCTTCCACATCGACAGTGGGAGGAAGGCCCCGCTCCACTCGCCGCCCAGCCAGCACTACACCATCGTCTTCAACACCTTCGTGCTGATGCAGCTCTTCAACGAGATCAACTCCCGCAAGATCCACGGCGAGAGGAACGTGTTCGCCGGCATCTACCACAACCTCATCTTCTGCTCGGTGGTCCTGGGCACGTTCATCAGCCAGGTGAGGGCCCATCGGGAGCGGGGCGGAGGGCGGGGACCACAGGCTGGGAGCCAGGACGCCCTAAGTACTTCGGAGAGGGAGTAAGGGAGCAGCTGGTGGGGCTGCGGCCGCAGGACACGCACTTGGGGCTCCCAGTTTAGCTCCACGCGCACCTTGCTCTAGACGGGAGCCCAGTGTGCCCAGTGCTCCAGCGCAAGGCAACGTGCTGCATGCAAATAAGACAAGATGGATCCTTTCATTACCTTCCTAAGTACACGTCTTCCACAGAGTGACCAGGGGACGGTCAGTCAGGCTGTTCCAGCCCACCTCCGTGCCTCCTGGCAACGTGGCGTGCTGCACAGTACCGTGCAAGGCACGGAGAAAGAGAAGTGATGGGAGGGGCACGGGGCTGGCAGTGAGTCCAGCCTGGGAACTGGGGTCAGGGAGATGGGGGACCTTGAGATAAAAGGGTCAGGCCCCTTCCTCCCTTTCCTCTGGGGGTACCAGGGACTGGGAGCTCCCTGTCCAGCCACAGCCTCAGCAGGGTCCCTCCCTCGCTGCCCCCCTCCATGCTGTGCACTCTCCTGGTCGCCCGCTGGCTTTAGCCCCAGGACGCCCCCACACCCCTGCTCTGACCTTACCGGAGTCACGAGCACAGCACGTGTGCCTGCCTGCCCGTCCAGCTGCTCTGTGGACTCTCCCTGCCTCCCCTCTCCCCACCTCACCGCCTCCCCACTCCCCTTCCAGGCTTCCCTCTCCTCCCGCAACGAGCCAACCAGAACTCCCGGAGAGGGCAGGGGGAGCCGTGGCATCTGCGGCCGTGTCTAGAGGGCCGCCACTCTCTGTTCTAGGTTCTCATTGTGGAATTTGGGGGCAAGCCCTTCAGCTGCACAAAGCTCAGCCTGTCGCAGTGGCTGTGGTGTCTCTTCTTTGGGATCGGAGAACTCCTGTGGGGCCAGGTGAGTAGGCGCGTGCCTTCCCCACGCGTTTGCACAGCCTGCAGACCCCTCTCCTCTGTGTGAGACGGGACGAGCACCTGCGGGGGCTCCCAGCTGCCCTCAGCCTCCCCTCCCCTCTCCTCACCCAAGTCCTCGAGTCCCCTCCGTCTTCCGGGGTGAGAGCATCGGGGCCCGCGCGTCGGAAACTCCTGGCCTCCTCTCTACCCGTGCTTGGGCACAGGCAGATCCCTTAGCTTCCTGAGGCGGGCGTGGGACTTTGCGGTGGAACTCAGCTTTAGAAAACCGAAGGGTCTGGGGCCGCATTTGATACAGCCCACCTGCCGTAACAGAGCACCCGGCTTCAAGGCCTGGCTCCGCTTCCGCCAGTGCTCTCCCTGGGAGGCCGCGGATGACGGCCCAGGTACCTGGACCCCTGCCACCCAAGAGGGAGACCTGGATGGAGTTCCAGGCTCCTGGCTTGAGCCCTGCCCTGCCCGACTGGTTGCAAACATTTGGGGAGTGAAATAGTGGATAGAAGAGATATCTCTCTTTCTTTGTCTTTCAAATAAACGATATTAAAAAAAAAAGATTGATTCATTTATTTGAAAGAGTTACAGAGAGAGAGGGAGTGAGATCCTCCATCCACTGGTTCACTGCCCCAGATAGCCACAGTGGCCAGGGCTGGGCCAGACTGAAGCCCGGAGCCAGGAGCTTCTTCCATGGCTCGCATATAGGTGGCAGGGGCCCAGCACCTGGGCCATCTTCCTCTGCTTTTCCCAGGCCATTAGCAGGGAAGCTGGGTCAGAAGTGGAACTACCAAGACAGGAAGCTGCGTCCACGTGGGATGCTGGTGCGGCAGGCGATGGCTTTTACCCCCTGCTCCATAACACCGCACCCAGTCCTTGTGGTTTCTAATCGAGGCTCTTAGGAGTAGGAGAGTTCTTCCTCTGTGTGTATTGGAACACAGCAGCAGCCCGGGCCCCAGGCTGCCCTGCTGCCGGCCCCTTGTGTCGCTCCCTTGCTGCCGGTCCCCCGTGGGGCCGCCCCCGGGCCTTGATGCCACGCGGCAGCTTTCCTTCGGAAGCCCCCAGCCCCTCCCAGCATCGCAGCACAAAGCCCAAGTGTTCCTCCCTCTCAGCACGTGGTGCCAGCGCCACCTGCCCACGCCCCCAGCTCGCCCAGTGACTTGTTCTGAGTCGCACACAGTCTGCTCGGGCGCTGCACGCTGTGGAAGCGTGGAGTACCCCCTCCCCGAGGCTGACCACACAGGCTGCGGTGGGAGTGGGAACCCAGAAGATCCTTCTCACCCAGGCCTTGTCCCTGTGCCTTGGCCGTGCGCATACCACGTGCCCAGCTCCTCCCACATCCTCTCTCCCCCAGCTTGTCACTGCCCGCGGGCCGGCCCCCACGAGGTGGCCCCCACGAGGTGACGGCTCTTCTCGTCCTCAGATCATCTCTGCGATACCCACGCAATCCCTGAAGTTCCTGAAGGAGGCCGGGCACGGCACCACCAAGGAGGAGATCAGCAAGGACGCCGAGGGGCTGGATGAGATCGACCACGCCGAGATGGAGCTGCGCCGAGGCCAGATCCTCTGGTTCCGGGGCCTGAACCGGATCCAGACCCAGGTACTCCGCTCGTGGTCTCTGCTCGCCCCAGGGGAGGACACCACCCCATGCTGGGAGAGGGTGGCGGGCGGCCGGCGTCTCTCCCCGGGCCAGGGCAGCCCCAGCTCCCGAGCTCCAGGACAGAGATGGGGGTTTCTGCGTGGGCAGCTGTGGGAGGCAGGGAGTCCCGGGGCCTGGGCCCTGGGACCTTGTCTGCCAAGCCTGCGAGCTGCAGGCTGGGGCTCGAGCGCTCTCTGCCGCCCTCTGTTGGATGGGCAAGCTTCCTGCAAGCACTGGACCAGACCCCAGGGTGGAAACTGGGCAGTGTCCCTACCCCTTCGGAGGAGGAAGTTAGATCCTGGGCCAGCATCCCCCGCAGGCCGCGTGGTGCCGCCCGCGCTGCCGTTACGGGAATCGACGTTCTCTGGAGGGAGCTCAGGAAAACCAAGTCATGCCCTGACCTCCCACTCAGACCTCCCGCCCTGTGACAGCAGCGTCCCCACGCCCGAGCGTCTCTTGCAGGGTTCCGGCTTGCTTCTCGAAAAGGAAGAAGCTGTCATTTCTTCAAACCTCTTCCCTTTTTGCCATTTCTGAAGTGGGATTAGGAAGCGGCTCCTGCTGCTGCTCCCAAGTCCCTGCCTGTCACCTCGGAGTGGCTTCTTTCCTGCCACCTTCCACGCAGCAGCCGAGGCTCCCTTCTGGATCGGGCTGGTCCGTTCCGCCTCTCCCTGCCGTCACCCCACACACCTTATTGTGCCGATCCCGAGGTTCCCCGTCTTGGGCCTGTCTCCCTCCGCTGATCCAAAAATCACGCTCAGCCTCGAAACTGGCCTTGCAGCTGGCTCAGAGAGGTCCCCGGTGCGGCCCGCCTCCCAGCAGACGCAAACATCCAGCCACACACCCAGCAGGCCCGGGCCTCCCACGGGCAAGACGGCAGACGGGGAAGTGGATGAGGGCCGGGCAGGGGAGCCCTGCGGCTGCTCTCCCCTCACTCGAGTCCTCCTCCCAGAGGGGGCACCCCAGCGGGACCCGCACAGGCCCCTGGGGGTGTGCACGGTGCCCACCCCAGCCGCCAGCTGCCGAGTCCGTCAAGTGCCCCTAGAACCTGGTGCCCGCGGCTCCCATCTCTGCCCCTGTGCTTTCCCAGGGGTCTACTCTTTTCCAAAATAACCTTTCTTTGCTTTTCTTCCCTTCAGGAACACCCGCCTCCTCTTCCATTGCGTGGTTTTTTTCCTAACCAGGAGCCCCTCACTGCAGTGCCTCCTCGCTCCCTCCTTGCCCGTCTCCTCTCCCGGGGGGCTGAGGCCCCCGGGTCCTCCTCTCCCTCCACTGCCAGCCTCTGTCCCCTTGACTGTGCACCTCTCTGTCTGGTGGCACTGGCTGCCTGGCTTTGGCCTATGACCTTTCTCTGTTGGAGCACCAGGCAGTCCGGGCCACAGAAACAACCGGCCAGGGATGCTGCAGTGACCACGGCCATGCCACCCCCTCGGGCACCTGCCCCTGTGAGCAGCTGTGTGTCCCCTCGTGGCTCCAAACCCTCGGCCCCAGGGGGTGCTAACAGGATCCCTGCCAGCCAGTTGCTTCTCACTGTCATGGTCCTCGCAACCCCTGGCGACTGGAGGTGTGCCAAGCTGTTATCCAGTCCTGGTTCTAGATTATTCTCCCTGAACTCTAAAAGCTCTAGAAAGCAGAAGTTTTGAGAAACTTAAGGGCCAGAGTCTTGGGAAGGCGAGCTGGCGTCCAGTTTCACTGTCAAGGTTGGGACTCAGCTGCCCGAATGAGTACTATGTTAGGGGGTCCCTGCAGCACCCCCCCCCCCATGGAACTGGAACCTCCCCTGTGCCAGGCCTGCCCTCCCGCAGTTCCCTGGAATCCGAATCCAGAAACCAGCCCAGAACACTTCACGGCTTCTCAGGAAGCTTCATAAATGCAAAGGTACTTCAAAAAGTTTGTGGAAAGTGGAATTAAAAGGTAACGTTTATTTTGGTGCAAAAAATCTTGTTATCCATGCATCATGGCTTTTTCATCATTTGCATTTTCCATGAGCTTTTTGAAGGCCGCCCCTCCATGAGAACAACCCTTTGTTCACAAGGTGCCCGCTTTCCGGCCTCCACTCCCGGGGAGGTGCGGCGGGCGAGAGAGGCAGCACCTTTCCCGGTGCCCCGGTAGATGACCCTGGGCGTTAGGCGTGTGGGCGCGCCAGGCACGATTCCTGCAGGTGCACGACAGAGCAGGGACTCCCCTCTGGTCTGTGCCTTGTTCCCTCGGGTCAGGGGTGACCACGGCAGATCAAGGCCATTGTTGGGAAGCGAATGCGTTCACTGCCCTGCCCATGAGGAGACGTTGGCACAGGCCTGGAGCCTCGGCTGCCACACCCCGGGCTAACTGCTGGACGCTCAGGAACTCCAGCGCGTTCCCTGGCCACGGGCACACGGGCCCTGTCCCCCTCAGCCTGGGGAAAGGGGATCCCAGGAGACTCCGTGATCCCAGGAGTCTCGGGTTCGGGCGCCTTTCCACTCCGGCCGCCTCTGTACGGCCTGCCACACCCCCTGGGTTTTTCCTGAAACACGTGAGTTATTTCCCTGGAGAACCTGCAAACAGAGGCTGCGGTTGACTTGGTGCAGGTGCTGAGCGCCTTCTGTTTCACAGTCGGGGTCAGGACGATGCGCAGGCTCCAGGCCCTGCCTAGCGCAAGGAGGGCCGGAGGCGGGGCAGCCCGCTTTGAGCTCTGAAGACGCAAGGACACCTGCACACTCAGATGCCCAGCACAGCTGGGCTCTGAGTCCTGAGCGGGGATTTGGCTCCATGGTAACCGTTCCTTAACTGAAGTGCCATATGCAATGAGCACCCCCCTCCCCTCACCACTGCTGTGTGTGAGCGACTCTCCTTCTCTCTCTCTCTCTCTCCTCTCTCTCCCCTCTCTCTCTCTCCTGTGCCCTCCCCAGCCCCCCACCGCCCGCCCTCACTCTCCTACCCTCTCGCTGACTGGGGAGCAAAGCTGTCTCACTCTCTGATTCTTTGCAGATCGAAGTAATTAACACATTCCAGACGGGAGCCTCTATTAAGGGAGTCCTAAGGCGCCAGACCATGGGGCAGCACCTTGACGTAAAACTGGGTCCTAGCTCGTCCTATGTGTCGGTTGCGCCAGTCAGAACCTCCCCCACCACTTCTGTTGCTGCTGCCGCGTCATCTCCTACTGTGGGCAGTGAGTGAGAGTCTCTTACGATGCATGATTTGCTAAGATGACCACAAGAGAGCACGCGGCCTCCGCCCTAACCCACCGTGGTTAGCTTTTCCTTTTGGTTTTTCCCTTTGACCTTTGACCCAAGGGAAGAAAAGACAAAAGTCCCACTCTAAAACCAGGCTGTGTGCCCTTTGATTATTATTTTTCAATGTTGAAAAGCTATTAAACCTTAAGCATTTTAAAGACCAGAATCCTGTTTTCCGCCTGTGCCTCTGCGTCGCTTGTTTCTTCCTTTCCTTGTGTTTTTGTTTTGCTTTGCCTCTTTGTTTTGTTTTTGTTGTTTTCAGGGTTTTTTGTTTTTTGTCTCTTGCTTTGTTTGGCTATGTCGCTGCTCCTCTACTCCCTCTGAGTCTAAACTCTCCCTCCTAAGCTCAGACGCAAGGTGAGGCTGAGTGGACACCCAGGGAGTCTGTTCACTTGAGGGTGACGCGGGGATTGCTTGAGGAGAGGCACACAGAGAGCCACCGTGCCCGTGGGTTTTGACGGCTGCACCTGCCGTAGCCCAGCTAGTTCTGGGCTTGCTCAGACAGCCCTCCTGCTGGCACGCCCCCGGCGGCCATAGCGGGGCAGGTAGCTCAGGGTGGAGGGTCCTGGACCTTTTACCTTGCAGGGCCCATAAGTAAAGCAAGCTCTCACTTTAAGAATCTACTGGGCTGACGCCGCCGCTCACTAGGCTAATCCTCCGCCTTGCGGCGCCAGCACACCAGGTTCTAGTCCCGGTCGGGGCGCCGGATTCTGTCCCGGTTGCCCCTCTTCTAGGCCAGCTCTCTGCTGTGGCCAGGGAGTGCAGTGGAGGATGGCCCAAGTCCTTGGGCCCTGCACCTGCATGGGAGACCAGGAGAAGTACCTGGCTCCTGCCTTCGGATCAGCGCAGTGCGCCGGCCGCGGCGGCCATTGGAGGGTGAACCAACAGCAAAGGAAGACCTTTCTCTCTGTCTCTCTCTCTCACTGTCCACTCTGCCTGTCAAAAAAAAAAAAAAAAAATCTACTGGCCCACTTCTGGGCACGTGGAAGGATCAAAACAACGTGTTTTACGTCATCGACTAAGCTATTTTTTTTTTAGGAGTTTCTGGAAGAGCAACCCTCCTTTGCTTCTCTCCTCTGGTTCGATCGCTTCGCCGGTAGCCAGCCCTTCCTGTCTCGTTTGCACGTGCAGTCTAGGAGCCGCTCTGCCAGCCAGCCTGGCACTGCAAAGCCATCCGCTCTCGGGCTCAGAGCAGGCGGTCCCGGTGGTAGATTGTCAGACCCTGGCTGACGCTGTGCTCTCCTCTTCCCAGTCACTGGGCCTTTTCCCGGAGGGGAACGCAGGAAGGCAGCCAGCTCTTCCCCGAGAGGGCCGTGAAGGAGTTTCTCGGTAGTGAGTCCCTCGTGGGGCTTCCCAGATCTGCGTGTCGAGTCGAGTCCGCGCCTTCAGCCACCCCGCCCAGCCCCGTGCCCAACCCCGGCACAGAGCCCCAGGAAGAGCCTTTGCGTTGTCTGTGGCTTGCCGCATTATGAACCGGGCAGGTTGACCAGAGCTGGATTCGTTTAGATTTTTGAGCCAACCATAAGTGTTCTGGTGTCAGACTTGCGGGGGTGGGGCTTGACAGAGACACGTGCTGCGTCCACAGGCTCAAAGGCAGGCAAGAAAGAACAAGAGAAGTGTCAGCCCGCGAGTATCCAAGAGCCTCCCCCTCGGGCCTCCTACATTCCTGTCTTAATCCCGCCTCTCTTCCGCATTTGCTCTCCCTGCTAACTGGTGTCTGTTCCTTCCCTCTCTGGCGGGAAGGGTGAGTGTCGGGAGACTGAGCGGGAGGGAGCCCGCATGCTGGCTCCAGTAGACGCCCGGAGCACAGGCAGGCCGCCCCGGCCTTCCTCCTGGGAAGTCCGGGAAGTCAGGGTCAGGCATTTTCCCATTCCAGATCTTACACGTTGGAATATCTGTCCCACCCTCACGGGACGGCTGTGCAGGGCCTCCCTCTCCAGGGAGAGCCCGGGCCTTTCCTCCCCTGCTTTCTGGAAAGGAAGCAGAAAGCAGCTGAATTCCAGCCGAGGAAAGGGGGTCTCCATCTGACCCCAGAGTGTGCCCGGGCACTGCTCGGGGCTCCTGGGACAGGAGCAGGAGTTGTCCTCAAGGAGCCCCCTTCCCGAATGAGCAGGGAGGGTGGGGGGTCGGCTGAGTGGGCGGGGCTCAGAGCTTGCACGACGCCTGCCTGCTGCGTTAGCCCTGTCCTGCCTCCACTGCTGTCCCCGCACCACACACCACGCTGCAGGGAGGGTGCGGACCTGGGGCGGTGATGTCCCACGGGCGTCCCCTTCTCTCCTGCTGCCGGTCCGGTGGGGGCCCTAGCTCTCTGACGCTCAGCTTCCCTTACAGGTGCCTGGTGTCCCTTTAGATCCCCGAAGGTCTGCAGTCTAGGCTGGATGGCTCTTCCTTGTTCCCCCAAAAGCCTCCCCTACCTTTTCCATCTGCTCATCCCCATATCACTTTTTATCTCCTATAACAATGCTTGGCCACCCAGCAGGTGAGAGGAAAAGCCAGCAAGCAGGACTCCAGACCCTCATCCCAACCCCAGTTTGTTTAAAAGTCTGTTTTCCGCAGTGGATTTCCCATGGACTTGTCTCAGGAAGGTCTCACCTGTGTCTAAAACAGAAGTAGGAAGTCTGACGTCACTGACGCTGAGGGCGCATGCTGTCCTGTAGTGCTCCCCCTAGAGGTTCTGAGATCCCAAAATGATGAGCAGGGCAGGCTGCACTTCTGCAGCAGGTGGGAGCGCTGGGGCCTGTCCATCTGCCCGGGTAGCCCCCGGGGCCAAGAGAGAAGGCATTGGTTTGGGCCCACCTGACCCCACTTGCCTCGCTCGAAGATCTGACGTGGAGCCGTGGGAAGCGGGAGCTCGCTGGACGCCAGTGGAGCTTCCACTCCCCCGGCTCACCGGGATCGGGAGCAGAGGCATCGTGCAGGTACAGTCCACCCTCGGGTGCACAGCAGGAATCCTAGGAGGGCGGAAACGTGGGTCCTCAGTCCTGTGCAGTCAGGGGCGCGTGTGGCCCGGCTCCTTGAGTCTTCCTAGCTGAGGTGTTAAGCTGCTTGATCGCACTGAGCGGCAAGAAGTCCTTGCGACGTCCCTGCTGAGGGGGGCTGCAGGCCGTGGTGGGGCGAGGAAGAGCAGAAAACTTAGCCAGTGGACGTGCAGTTTCTCCAGGGAGGAGGGACCAACCGTACTGACGGTGAGCCTTCTTTGCCCAGTATTCTGGAAGGTTCTACACAGTGGCAGAAAGCCCTAGGACAGGAGATTCAGCTAATTTATTTGGCTTTCTTTTTAAAAGATTTATTTTCTTTATTTGAAAGATAGAGAGGGAGAAACAGAGAAAAGTCTTCCATCTGCTGGTTTGCTCCCAAAATGGCCACAACAGCCAGAGCTGGACCAGGCTGAAACCAGGAGCTCCCACCAGGTCTCCCACGAGGGTGGAGCACTTGGTCCATCTCCTGCTTCCCCAGGTGCATTAGCAGGAAGCGGGATCAGAAGTGGAGCAGCCCAGGACTCAAACCAGCGCCCATACGGGATGCCAGCACTGCAGGTGGCATCTTAGCCCGCTAACGCCACAGCGCCGGCCCCGGGGCTGACTGCTCTGCTGGCTCCTCCACACTCTTAGGTCCTCTCCATGAGTGTGCTCTGCCTGAGCAGCAGCAGAACGAGAGAGATGCCCTGCCCCAGTGTTCAGCACTTCGCCCCGCCCCGCCCCAGCCTCAGCAGCTTCCCCTGCGGAGGAGACCAGGATCAGCCACCTCCCCGCAGCTACAGCTGCCCTGAGGCCACGCCCCTCCAGGTTCTCTGGCATCCAGTCCTCTCCCCCTACCCTGATTCTCCCAGCCCAGGCTCAGAGAGAGGGAGGGAGAGCGAGAGAGTGAGCTACAGGTGAGGACAGCGGAGCTGCCCAAGGAGCAGATCCTGGTCCCAGACATCAGTCCACATCAGCTTCTCCCTCTGGACCCCTTCCTGTCGGTGCAGGAGGACAAAGGCTGACGCGGGCTGGTGCAGTCCCCTTGCCCGCCCTCTGGGATGCGCCACTCGTGTGCAGCACAGCTTCCTGGACTGGGTTCCCCGCCCCGTCTCTCCCTTTCCCTTCTCCACGCGGAACCGTGTTCCTCTTCACAGTTTGCAAACAGCTGGAGGCAGGGGCTTCGTTGGGCGCAGAGACAGGGACATGGATTTGGGTTGTGGGAGCCAGGCCTCCCCTCGTAGGCAGGAGGAGAGCGTCCTTTGACACCTGTGTTTTAGCCTCGTCCAGGGGAGCAGTGAAGGAGTCGAGTTCCGTTTTCTCTCGGGGAAGGGGGCCCAGCGGAGGCTATGGGATGTGACCCCGTGCATGCCTCTGACTGCGAGGGCAGCTCACTCGGTTGGAGGTTCTCGTTGCCTGCATGCGGCCCACACAAGTGAACACTGGTTTGTCTGCCTGGCTGTGTAGCGGTTACGGTCACTTGTCACTCAATGTGCAGATCGGTTTCCTCTTGGCCCTTGGAGGGGGGTTCAACAAACAATGAAGCTTAGATGTATCATTTTTTCCCATCCCGCATTCACGAAATGTTTGGCCTCGACACAGAAGTCCACACGTGTGAATCTTTTTTTTTTTTTTTTAACGTTTGGCTGTTAACTTGCGCCCAGTTCCAGCGTCTTTGCCCTCCATCCGAAAGAACTAATGACTCATTTTGTTTTCTGTTTCATTTTAAAAATGGATTGTTTGGGAATGCTGACTTTGCTTTGGGTTTCCTGTTTTGTTTTTTTTTTTTTTTTTTAATTCAGCTTCCGATGCGTCACAGTTGTCTGCCATCACTCACCCCCACCCCGCCCCCTGCTTGACATTTGAGCCTTGCGATGTTTCTCATGCCCCATGGTCTCTTGGTTTTTGGTTGTGGAGCAGTTGTTTGTGTCTGGGCTTTGTTTCTCTCCTCGCTGGTTGCCTTCCTGCTGGCCGATTCTCACTGTGCTGTTTTCTCGTCCTCCTCCTGCTTCCCCCGGTGCAGATCAAGGTGGTCAGAGCGTTCCATAGCTCCCTCCACGAAAGCATTCAGAAGCCCAGGAACCAGAACTCCATCCACAACTTCATGACCCACCCTGAATTCGCCATAGATGAGGAGTCGCCACGAACACCCTTCCTAGATGAGCAGGAGGACGACAGTCTGCACGAGGCCCTGGACTCTGGGTCCAAGGTGTTCCCGCCGGACGGCGAGGCTGCGCCCTACGCCAACAAAAACAACAACGCGGTGGACTGCAAGCCGTCGCGAGCTGCCGCGTCCCGCTCCGACAGCCCTCTGCACAGCCTGGAGACCTCCGTGTGAACACTCGTTCTAGGACCCCCACCCCTGCTTCCCCTGCGCCCCTTCTCATCTGCTCTCCCCGTAAGGCGACGATGCAACTTGCCACTGTCACGTCAGCTGCTCCCAAGTGTGTTTGAACCCCACCCCACCCCCCACCTGAGCACAAAAAAGATGAATAAACAAGAGACCTACCAGGATGGCAGCCAAAACTTGAGCTGGGGTTTGTAGCAGGATCCAGTCAAACCCCGGGCAGGTACTGGCAGTCTCCTCCTCGGGGTGTCCGCTGTCCGTGGTGAAATGATGACAATCCTCTGGGCGTCACCCCAACCCGAGCCCCGCCCCCGACACCCCCACCCCAGTGTTCACAGCTGCGTGACCTTCTCCTGACTTCGGGATGCTGCCCTGCGGGTCTGGGCCGGTGATCAGCCACGCTGAGAGCTGAGACAGACAGACAGCCCGCCCCAGATGAAATGCGGAGAGGTGTGGAGTCAGCCGGCTGAGTGAGCGAGCTCACAACAACTGTCCCGTTTTAAACGCTTCACCTGAGGGCCTCTGGCTCCTCCAGCCTTCGAGCCCCAACTTGCACGGGCATCCTGTCTCTCGTGAGCCCCATCGTCTCCCTCCCCCCGGCTTGTTTCTGTTTTAGCGCTGTGTCTGTTGAGAGACTAGAGAGGACGTGGGTGCATCGCGCGGACCGGCACCGTTCTCCCTCCTGGCCCCGTAGAAACCTCGGTGTAGTTGCACAGGCAGGGAGGCTCCCTTGAGGAAGGGTCCTGTGGGAGCAGCTAGGGGCTGCCGAGGTCACCTGCTGTTGCCGGGCTACCTTCTGCTTCTAAACTGCCATCCGGCGGGCGGGGCTGGGGAGGCTCAGGTGCAGGGGGAGCGCGGCCTCCACTGGGGCGCCTGCACACATCCGGGAGAGTTTACCAGGGGTCTGAGTCCTGGCCTCGTCCTCAAGGGATGGCAGAAGGGGGAGCTGGGGGTGCCCCGCCCCCTGGCTGGACTTGGATTTCGAGAACCAGGAGCTGGCGGGCCTTCGGAGCAGGCTCCCGGGCGCTCCTCCTGGGGGCAGCTGCTGCTTTCAAAGCCATCAGCCAAGGGTTGGGCGAGTGAGCATCCCGAAGCCTTGAGGGAGCCCCCGGGCCCTTGCAGCAGGACCCCAGAGCACCTGCCCACAGGGACCAAAAGCCCCTTGTTCCTCCGGTCTCTGAGACGATCCCAGCCTTTCTCAGATATTCTTATCTTGAAAGATGTGTATCCAGAGTGGGGGAGCCTGTGGCATTGACTGGCTCACAGCGGGCAAAAGGCCCACCCCACAGCGCCCCCTTCTTGCCCTCGCCTTCCTCCTGCAGGCCCCCCACCCCCCGCACGAGCCCCCTGCCAGCAGTGGGTCCGGCTGCCATGGGGGAGAGCCCGGTGCCTTCTCTCCCCAGCGCTGCCCTCCCCACCTGCCCCTCAGGAGCTGGGGGCTTTGTGAGGGGGTGTCTCAGTGTTCCTCCCTGGGGCAGGTGGGGGCACATGGGAGGGGGCCCCCCAACTTCATTCCGTCCCCTGTAATAAATGAAGCCCACTCCCCTCCTCCGAGAGCGATGGGAAGAAAATGGAGAGGGCTCCAGGGCGTGTGAATCCCGCTGTGGGAGGAAGTGACCTGAGCCACCTGCTCCAGCCCTTCCCAGACCCCTGCTCCCTCTCCCCACTCTCCTGCGCTGTCTGTCGAAGGCGGGACCAGCAAGGAAGCCACGCCCACCGCACCCCGCACTGCTGCAGAATCCATCCTAGTAGGGAAGAGAAAAAGCACACTTGGCTTTGGTTTTGTGCAGGTTCCGTGCTTCAGCGATTTTTCTCTGTCTTCAGTACCCACAGGGGGATAATAAACAGCTCACCCAAGGTGTAAGGTGTTCACATAAATATTTATTAAGTACATCGGAAGACTGAATTCTGTCAAGTCTTTTAGTACCTCAGATCATTCTAAAAAGCCAATAAGAAGCTCGGAGGCTCCTCTCCTCCTCGACCATTTCTGCTCCTGAGACTCGTGCCTGACAGGTGACCCGGGAGGGAGAGCTCAGGTCTAGGTTTTTAAAGTCAATGGTTTCTGTGTGTGTGTGTGTGCGCGCGCGCACGCTAGTTTCCATAGGAGAGAAAATACAGAAATATTATGCAAAAAAACAGAGAGTCTTCTTTAGATTAGAAACTGATATTTTTGCGTCAGCCATATGTCTTGTATTTAAAGGATTCACAATCCAGTGCCGTCACGGAACCCGGTGGAAGGAAGTGCGCACCTAGCTCTTGACACGAGGGGTGACCTCGTGTCTCCGCCGTTGGTTTCAGAGCCAGCGCACTGTATTTCCTTTCGCCAAACAGCCATCCTTGTACTTAGGGGGGAAAAATCTGTCGGGTTCTAGACTTTTTTTAATATAAATTTTGTTGATATGGAATTAAGTTTCAGTGTTTATGTGCATATATTTTGTTTTATGTAAGTTTTTTCTATTGAGTTTCAGCGATCCAATTGGCAGTGAGCAGATACGGCACAAGTTCCTAACGCTTCTCCCCAAAATGGCGCTTTGGGTCTGAAAGGGTCTGACGGGGAGGGGAGAAAGCGCCATCCTAGCATCCTCTCCCGTGAGCTTAGGGAACCCGGGCTGGCCGGGAGGAGCGCAGCCTGGCCCGCACAAGCCACAGGCTCCTGGCAGCCGGCCGTTAGAGCCCGGACCTTCTGCCCGCGGTGTGTTTCTCAGAGAATGGCAGGCCAAGTGCTCCCCAGGCCAGCACCACCTCCCAGTCCCTAGGACGCTCCGGTCTGGGGTCCGCTGCTTTTTATGGCTCTCTCACTTCCTGTTCCCCTGGGAGTTTTCCGCGAGTGAGTCTTGGTGCGCGCACCTGATTTGAGGCTCCTTCCCTCCCCTAGAAAGGTTTTGTGCTTTGTGCTGGGTCGGGGACAGCGGGCTCAGCCTCAGGGCAGCAGTGACTGGTCCTGGCCCAGGGCTGAGCCCTTCCCGTAGGGGTCCCCCATCTTTGAGGGGTCCAGGGAGGCTTCATTACTTGGCTTTCTTCCCCCGGAGCGTCAAGAGGGGAGCGTCTGCCCAGGTCAGTCTGAGCGATTCCCTCGCTGCCCAAAACCCAGCGAGGCCGGGCACACTCGCACGCCCCCTCCCGGGACCATCCCCCTTGGCGCACTTCCTCACCTGTCCCGCATGGGGACCACACGGAGGCCATGGCGCTGAGGAACGCCCCAGAGTAGACCAGGCCCTCGGTTCCGCGTGGCTCTGTGCCAGTCCTGTTGCCCTCCCACCCTGCCGTCGGGCCTGCTGTTCCAGGAGGCGGAGGGAGATGAGCCCCCCGTGCCCAGTCGGCCCGGGGCTCCTGTCTCGTCCCCGTGTGTGTGTGTGTGTGCCACGTGTGCATACGCCCTATGTCCGTACCAACAAACCTGTGTGCGTGTGCTCTTGGAATGCGCACGCAGGTAGACTTGGAGTTCCACCTTGTCCTTTTTGTTAGCTAGTAGAACAAGCGCTGGTATTTTTGTACAAAAGAGAAAAACACAAGGTTGACTCTTGTGGCCTGCATGACACAAACAAAGGACGTGTGCCCAGTGTTTGCGGCTCAACTGCAGCTCAGCACCGGCCTGTATCGCATCTTGGTATCTTTAAGCTCTGTGGACAATATTTCGCATGTATTTATATGGTTCTTGGGGTGGGAGGGGGGTGCTATATATTGGCAGATGTGCCATTCAAATGTGGTGTTCCACTGAGAAGGTAAAAGAGCAAAGGAGTTTTCAAAGGGATTTTTTTTTTTTTTTTTTGGAACGAATAATTCTTGCTGATGAGCAGAAACCAGTACTGCCATGCACTGAGAATAAAGGCCCGTGCCCACTTGTAACTGCGCTGTCCTCCCTGTGTCGCCGCCTCTGCGTACGGCCACCGCTCGTCGAAGTTGAGGAGGGAACTGCCCTAGCCACCCCATCAGAGCAGGTGCAGGCCTCGGCCTGTCGCTGGGCACGCACGGCCCTGGCTGCTACCCTCGCTGTCTCTAGATCGGGCTCGGCTCTGCCCGCGTGGTTAGAAGCCACGTCCAGGAGCGGGACGCCGGAGCTTCTAGAAAGGTAGGGACGAGGCGGTCTGGGCAGGCCTGCCTCTCTCTGTCCGTCGCGCCCTGGCTCTGATGGAGCATGACTGGCCCAGCTGACAGCTGCCTCCTGGAAGGTCATCTGTGCTCCGAGCCCTCCCGTCTGGCTCAGCCTTCCTGTAGCCGTCACGCAGGCGCACAGTCAGGTCGCCTCTCTGCTTTGAAACATCAGAGACAGGAAAGGGCCGTGTCCCCCCCTCCAGCTCTTTCAGGAAAGGACCCCTGAGAGGCCTTGTCCCCGCTGGCACGGTGCCTGCTCCCCTTCTTTACACCAAGGGCTGGGATAGAAAATAAATAAATAAATAAATAAAGCTACAGGCAAAAGTGAAAATTTTTGTGAAAACGAGCTGGGGTTTATTTGCTCCCAGGAGTCACAAAATCATCACAGACAGAACGAAGGTCCTTTCTGCTGAAGCCCCGCCCTGTGTCTTCCGCTCTCAATGCCGCCTGTCTCCGTTGGGCCTCAGTCTGTGCCTCTCGGCTCTGCCAAACAGGCTCCCACGGCTCCCCGCCTCCTGACCCCAGCACATGGTGCGGAAGCCTCGGGAGTATCCCGGAGCCAGCGCCCGGCGCAGCGGGTTAGACCTCCGCCGCCTGCAACACCAGCACCCCAGACCAGAGCACCGGGTTGAGTCCCGGCTGCTCTGCTTCTGATATAGCTTCCTGCCGATGTACCTGGGAAAGCAAATACTTGGGCCCTTGCCACCCACCTGGGAGACCCGGGTGGACTTCCTGGCTTCCGCCTGGCACAGCCCTGGCTGTTAGCAACCATTCAGGGAGTGAACCAGCAGATGGAATCTCTTTGTCACTCTGCCTTTCAAATTTTTTTTTTTTCAAAAAAGTATTCTAGCAGAAACAACCGTACCCCTAAGACTAGTTCAATGGACAGTCAAATCCACTCGTGGGGGCGGTCATTTGGCACAGGGGTTAAGACACTGCTTAAGGCAGCTGCACCCAAGCCTGGATCTGCTTCCTTCCCTGGGAGGCAGGGGTGATGGCCCAGGAACCTGGGTCCCTGCCCCCCATGTGGGAGACGCCGATGGAGCGCCAGGCTCCCAGCTGTTGCCTGGCCCAG